ATGAATAAAAATTGCTGCTCTGGATATTTCAGCAGATCTGGTTTTCTGCCAAGTCAAGTCTGAAAAAAAATCAAACCTTCCTCACTGGAGAGGAGGTGAAAAGCTGTTTCACTGAAGGTAGAATGTAAGGTTTATTTTGCCAAATGGAAGACAGCAAAGACAACGCTGAGCTTTCTGCCTGGGGCATGTCGCCATGGCGGCGGCCGCCTGGCACAGCACTGTGCAATCCAGTCAAACCGCAAACCTCTCCCACTTACGCCGAGACTCACGGTGGCACCTCCAACACGGAAGCCACTTGGTGACACATGCAAAGCTCTCCTCCCTTTACAAGTGAAATATATGAAACAAAAAATTAAATTCATGACAAATACAAAACATAAAAACTTTTGCCCAGACCTTCACTTGGTGAGGTATGGTGCATACAGATGCTTCTGATAAATGTGCACTGCCAATAGAATTAATATTCTACTAATTATTTTTTACTCCTCAGAAACAATCTCTATAATTATAATTTTCCCATGTATTGGACAGCAATTTTGCTTTTATAGTATGTTCAGGTCCCTCATCTCCATTTGTTCCTCATGATTTTAGAGGCTGAGCAGGGATACCAGCTTCTCTTTCTGGGAATGGAGAATAACTTCCCACGGCCACATGGAAGGCGACAATTTGAGCTGAGACTAGGATCCAGAATTTCTGGTTCCCAGCCAAGCCTTCTACCCATAACACCATATTGCATCTTGTCATTGATCTCCAAGAACATATTTAATCCCCAACTACAGATTTTCTAAGAATTCCACACATTTGGATTTAGAATGTGACGCAATATAACCTAGAATGCAATGGCTTCCTTTTACACATTACTGATAAATAACTCCCAAAAATTACAGGAAAAAGAATGTCCCATAAAACAGAAGAATTACATTACCCAAAACCAGCAATAGTCATTAGTTAAGTTTAGGGTATCTATGTCACAATTAGTGTCTAAGGTGCCACCCCTACTGGATTAGAGAGCAATAGAGCTATAAAAGGGGAGCTACTCATACAAATTCTAAAAAGCAATTCCACAGCCAGCTAAGTCTAGGATAGATGGGCTGGAACTCAGGCTACATAAGGCTCATCCCAGTCCAATGAGACTCTGTCTTCATCCAGGAGAAGGGACGTTTGACCTGTAGAGGCAGAAGTGGATTACCCAATTGGCAGATGAAGTACTTGGGGTGCACCAAAAAAAAAATTTTTTTTAAGTTTTGGTGTTATTGAATTCAGCCACAATTTTGTAATCAGAAAATCTAAAAGAAGCTGTTTTAAGTACAGCTGACACTGAAGCTTTGTATCTTTTAAAAGATTTTTAATTTTTTTTCGTTTTTTTGTGCGTGTGTGAGGAAGATCAGCCCTGAGCTAACATCCATGTTAATCCTCCTCTTTTTGCTGAGGAAGACCAGCTCTGAGCTAACATCTATTGCCAATCCTCCTCTTTTTTTTCCCCAAAGCCCCAGTAGATAGTTATATGTCATAGCTGCACATCCTTCTAGTTGCTGTATGTGGGACGCGGCCTCAGCATGGCCGGAGAAGCGGTGCATGGGTGCGCGCCCAGGATCCGAACCCAGGCCACCAGTAGTGGAGTGTGTGCACTTAACCGCTAAGCCATGTGGCCGGCCCCCAAGATTTTTAATTTTACTTGGAGAATGGGACACCATATTTTTCTCTGCTTACGGTCCTGGAAGGGGTGGGTGGCCACAAACAAAGTGACATTTGAAAAGCAAAATCTCCCAACACTTCTTCTGCCTGCCCCGCCCTCCTTCCTGACTTGAAGTTCCACCACGTGAACCATTAATGCATTAGACATCAAGAGAGACTTTGGTTCCAGAAGGCTAATTGTTATCAGAAATAGCTCTCTAGTCTTCTGCCAGGAGCAGCAATTAGCTTATCCGATTCATTAATTAATAGAATTGAGATAAAACAATTGTTCATTTCTGAGTAGACAGTGAAGTATGTGTGTGTTGTGGGGAGAGGGGACAGGGAGAGAAGTTCCCCAGACCAAGCAGGGAAAATCAGGGTGACAGGGAGAAGCACCAAAGGCAAATGCCATCTCCTTCCCAACCAGCCTAAGATGGGCCAGGAGATACTTGTTTAAACCTATTATTCCAAGCAGCTTTTGCTCAACTATCTAGGGTAATAATTGTTTAATATACACCCACACTCAGTTATCTGAAGGGCTGCTTGTTGGTACCTTCTCCCTTGAGAAATGAACCCTGTGTTCATCAACTCTTATCCCACATTTCGTTTCAATATCTCCCTCTTCACAGGCTCCTTCCTTCTGACCTAACACATGCTTAGGCTTTCTTGCTTTCTTCTTCCATTAATTTTTTTTCTTTGTCCTCCCTCAAACTACTGCCCCATCTCTGCCTTTGTTCTCCATCAAACTACTTGAAAGGTTGGTCTTCTCTTGCCTCTACTCCTCACTCCTCCACCTCCATCCTGCCATCTAATTTTTACCCTCATTTGGCTGCTTTCTTAAAGGGCCCCATGGTCTCCTACTCACCAAATCTAAGACCATTTGACAGCCTGCTAGGTCCTCAAAGTTAACAAACCATTAAGAACTGTGCACCAGCCCCGCCTTGTTGAAACTCTGATCCGCTGTCTCCCTGGACACTGCACCCTCCTGCTCAGTACTCCTTCCTCTTTTGACTCCTCCGTCTCTTCTGTCACTAGTTCTGCTTCCTGCAAACTCCAAATAAAGAATGTCCCTAGCTCTCTCATTGGACCTCTTCTCCTTTGCACCCTCCTCTTCTGTACTCTTTCCTATGAAAGAGCTCAAACACACCAATAGTTTCAGCCACAACCATGTGCAAAAGACTCACAAAAGTCCATCTCTAACCCTTAGCCCCAAACACACGTTACCAACTGTCTGATTAAAACCTCCAACTGGATGTCCCCAAATACCCTAAATGATGTATGTTGAAGAAGGAGCTCATTGTCTTCTTCCTCCTCCCCCACCCCCTTCACCTCTTTCTACCACTCTTCGCAGTCATCTAGGCTGAAAAGCTGAGCGCCCTCTTGCCCACAGCTCTCCCTCACCACCGTCACCCAGTCAGTTGCCACAGAGCGGTGGTTGATTTCTTTGGTCTATCTCTTGCTTTACATCTCAACTATCCTTATTACTTTTTGCCTAGACTTGTGCAAGAGCCTTCTAGGTGGTTGGGTTGTCTCTCCTCCCCTCAAATGCATTCTACTTCCTTTGCCAAATCCATCTGCCTTTGGCCCAGCTCCTAAAAGATGACACCCAACCATCTGACGGGTTGCTCTACTGTACATAAGCCCCCTAGTTAGACGCCTTCTACAGTACGGGACCTACGAGCCCTGGCAAGTGGGTCCTTCTCTACCTGACACTCCAGTGATGCACTCACAATGACTTTCCTGCATCCACCTTACTGCTCTAACTATTCCCCCTCACTGGAATGCCATCTTGATACCTTTACCTTGTTATCTGTCAAAATAGTACCTGTTCTTTGAGACTCATACCAAATGCTATCTCTTCCAAGATAAAGCCTTTCCTTGAGCCTCTCAAATAGATGCCATCTCTCTCCTTCTTTGAATTTCCATGGCACTTTGATACTCTTCCAGGAGAACTCTGATCACAAACTACTTCATATTACAGTCATCTGGAAGCAGATCACGGAAAGAAAACAGGATCTAAGGTCAGAGATTGGATCGAAAGAGGGATAACGTATCTGAGTGACTCTTGCCTGCCAGGCCTGATGCTTTGCCTGAGTCATCATAGATTTCTCGAAACTACTCTCTAATGTAACTATCACTCTTTGCACTTTTCAAGTGACAGGGTCAAGTTCAGAAAGGTCCCTGACTTACACAGGCTCACAAAGCCCTTATTATATTTCCTTCACGTGGTAATAGTGAGAAGCAAGTAATAAAAGGCATACAAAAATCACTTTACAAATTGCAAAGCACTATACACATATTTGTTATCAACTTATCTTACTTACCCTTCTATAGATTTTTAGTGAAGGACATGTTTTCTATCTTACCAATCTTTGGATTCTCTGCAGCATTTATGATAATTATTAAAAGTGCTTAAATAGTTGTTTAATTAAATTGGATTTCTGATGCCATGTCTTGAATTAATAGGATTCTGAAATTTTTCACTCCAAAAAAAAAGTTGCCATTTATTTAGCAGGTGCATGTTCCAGGCATAGACTCTCTCTAATGTCCACAGCAACACTAGAAGGCTTGTATCATTGTCCTCATTTTATGGGTGGGGAAACCAGAGTTCAGAGACAATCATAACAGTCACACAGATAGTAAGGAGCAGAGGCAAGACAGCCTGATTCCAAAGCTCATGATTTCCCACCATTCCAGACTCCTGACCCCAAAGAGCCAAATGGCCTGGATGCCATCACAATCCACAGATGTTTCTGCATCAGAGGGATTCCTGTCGCTTATGAGCACAGAAATATTATTTTCTTTCTATACCCACGAGCACTGAGCTCCCTCTCAGATGCCACTCAGTATCATCACCTCCTCGTGAACACTGGCATAATCAGCACTCTCCTCCACACAGCTCAACAGATTTCATATATTCTTACAGATTTAGAGTTTCTCTTCTCACTGCTTTTTTCAACAAATCCTGACAGAGAATCCTTATGTGCCAGGACCTGTTGAAGACTCTGGGAACACAGCAGTAATGAGAAATGGGTTTCCTGTCTTTATGGAGCTTTCATTCTAACAGAGTGGGAGGAGACGGGCAATAAGCAAGCAAAGCATAACAAAGATAATTTCTGCTAGTGTTGTCGTATAATGGGAATAAAGAGGGTTGGGAGGATGGCTCTGAGCACGTGACATTAGAGTGGAGGCCTGGAGGCTTGCCAACTACAGGAAGAGCAAGGGGCAGAGCGCTCCAGATAGAAGTAACTAAAAAAGTGCAGCCTTGAGTTAGGAAGCTCTCAGTGTGTTGGAAAGTGGCTAGTGTATTTGCAGAGAGAAAGGAGCAGGATGGTATGAGATGACAGGGGAAGAGTCAGGCAGAGGCCTGGTACTAGAAAGCCCTGTAGTAGATCCTTGGAATGTACTTTTAAGCAAAGAAATGGCCTGATCTGGTTTCTGTTTTTAAAATAATACTCTGGCTACCCTGTGGGGACTTGGTGTTTGTGAAGGGAATGTGAAGTAAGACAAATATAAAAACCACTTAGGGGGCGATTTAGAAGTCCAGAAAGATGTGGGGCAACTTGGATTAAGGAGTGGGCAATGAAGATGGAAAGAAGAGGGTGGATTTGGGCTAAGTTGGGAGGTGGGCCCATGCTGCAAACATGGATGACAAAGAACCACACTATGAACCCTGGCAAATGTCCATGAGTTGCTTCACTAATTTCCATGCCAGAGTCACAGGCCACAGATCACTTAAAGTCAGCCCAACATCAAAGTTGACCAGGCCAGGAAGGCCTATTCATCCTTATTCTCAAAACACTCTTCAGAGATTGCCTCTCGTCCTTTGACCTCCAAGTTCAAGCACGTCAACTGTAGAGTCATCCAAATAGTCCAGAAATCAAGGCAAAGAGAGAGCCCAGAGGTACTGAGTACCTCATGTCAACATCTTCCATCCCCATAACGATCCTATGGAATTGGTGCTACCATCCCCCGTATGACAGGGACAACAGATTCCCCAATGTCACTCAACTGGTACATGGCAGATCCACAGTTGAGCCCAGATCTCTCTGACCCCAATGCCCACGCTCCTTCAACCACACCCCGTATGAAATCCAGAAACTTCACTGCAGGGAGAGTGAACTTCACAGCGGCTGGTGACCATGAGTTGATCACACCCATTCCTGAAACCACTCTCCACTCTTTAACTTCAGTTTCCCACACTTTCTTTCAGAATTTTCTGGGTAGAAATGCTTCCATTTATTGAACATATAATTATTGATGCTCCTTTGTGTCAGGCAACCTCCTAGACCCTAGGAAGCCAATAATGAGAAGGACACAGTCCTCAAGCACCAGGAGTCCAGGGTCTGATGGGGGAGGCAAAGAAGCAGGAAAGGAAGGTGGTTTTTCTCTCCTCGGTCCTTTAAAGCTCCATAAATGCTAAGGTTAAACTGACCCCAGAAATTTGGCTGATATTTTCAGGGACTTCTTTGCTTTTGTGCCACACTGGTCTCATTATGTAGATAACGTCACAGATTCATTCCATTTCATTATTCTGTAAGCGGACTATCTAATAAAAAAGTATCAGCTTAAAAAATGCAAAGTCTGAGGCAAAGTAACTTTTCTATTTTAAGCAGCCTTCAGATATTAGCATTGCTAATCAGCACCTCATTGGATGGTTAGGACCGACTCTAAGCACCACGTAAGGAACGAGAGTGATGGAGAACATCTATCAGCTGCTGGAACCAGGCACAATGGGGAGTGTGCTGTAGAAGTCATCTTACTGAATCCTCAGACGACCCCACGGAGGAGAAAAAACTAGGATGCCTGTTTTTTTTCTTTTTCTGTGAGGAAGATCAGCCCTGAGCTAACATCCGTGCTAATCCTCCTCTTTTTGCTGAGGAAGACCAGCTCTGAGCTAACATCTATTGCCAATCCTCCTCCGTTTTTTTTTTTCCTCAAAGCCCCAGTGGATAGTTGTATGTCATAGTTGCACATCCTTCTAGTTGCTGTATGTGGGATGCGGCCTCAGCATGGCCAGAGACGCGGTGCGTTGGTGCGCGCCCGGATCTGAACCCCGGCCCCAAGCAGCGGAGCGCACTCACTTAACCGCTAAGCCACGGGGCCGGCCCCAGGATGCCTGTTTTATAGTTAGAGAAACTGAGGCTTGGGGTGGTTAAATGACTTTCACAAGGTTACTCAGTGAGTAAGTATGAGAAGGAACACGGGCCCATGTTCTTAACCCATCTTCTGTTCTGCTAAGGCCAGGGTGGGCCTTTAAAATGACTGAGGGGTTAGAAATAAGAAACTGGATTGATGGACCTAGCTTAACTGTGCCTGGAGGAGAGGAATCTTGGAGATGATTCATTAAAGCATATTCAGGATATTTTTTAAATAAATTGAGACAGCTGCTCTCCATCTCCACTGAGGGTAGAAAAAAAGGCATTCACCCTCAGCCTAGCAGGTAAAGATAAAGAATGTCCAGACAGAGGAGTCTTGCTGGACCCTGGGGAACTCTTGCGTGCCCTATAATTGTTTGCCAAACCACAAATGCCTCCTCTTAGCCCCACTCTTTCTTCAAGGACCATTTCAAATGCCACCTGCTGAGAAATCTTTTTTTTTCTGGTTATTTTCTTTCTCTGAGAATATATGTCTTCTCCCCAGTTGAATGGCAACTCTCTGGAGGGAAGGAGCGAGGACTTGCCTACCCCCTCTGTCTCCAATGCATTTCTTTGGAAAATGCCATGTGAATAGTGATTCTAGAAGTAATCATCTGAGCCTCGTAGAAAAGTCTACTTTCCACCCTGGTAAACACTAGAATGCCTTTTCCAGATCAATTCTATATCTGCGATTGTGGGCAATGCTGAAATAAAAGGAAAGCCTGGCCAGCCAAAACTTTTAATGTAAATGGTGGCAATAGCAACTGAGTAGGTTGGAAAGATTTGAGATGGCGGCAGGCCAAAAGATTCCCACAGGGACTTCCAGCCTGGAGACTATGGGATAGATCTGCAGATGAACCAAATGACAGGAAATCTCTTTCACCTGAGGAAAGCCTGCTGCGAGGCCCCAGTTGATACATGTCCCAGGTGTCTAATCACTTCAGCTGCCTCTGAGCCACGGAGAAAAACAGGAGGGCTGGGGCATATCAATGCTCTCTTCTCCCCACCTCCTCACCTTCCTCCTTCAGGGCCACCTGAGCCACAAAGCCAGATCCTCATCAGTCAGCTCCTCACCTTCCTCTCCACTCTTCCACTCATGCCCACAGGCCTGGATCTGAGGTCAGGAAGCTCTGGGCTTGGATCCCTACACAGAAAATGACTCCTTTTCTCACTAGATTAGATTTGTTCCGGATGACCTACAGCCCAGTAGTCACTCTGCTCCCACATGCTCCCTGATCCAACTTACCCTGGAAGAAGATGTGAGGGATGCAAACACGTGGGTACAGCAATCCAGACAAGGAGAGACCCCAGTCTCCTCGGTTAATGCGCAAAGCTCACTGCGTGACTGGGCCCCTTCCATGCTCAAAATTCCACACCTGGGTGCGTGAGTGCCACTGTGTCTGAAGCCCAAGACCTTCACAAGGCACAGCTGATGCCTTGAGCGAGGCAACAGCAGGCTGTCCTTCACAGGCCATATCTTTGAGGAGAAGGTGGTCTCTGTGACACAGGTGGAGACTCCCCACTTCCCATCAGAGGGCCGATAAGCCCGTTAAGGGAACAGCTCTCTCTACTGTGCTTCCTCAATGAAAGAAGCCTCACAAGACAGCACCAGAGGGCTCAAAACAGATGACTTTAGGCTAATCCCCTTTCGATAGGTCTGAAAAACAGCTGTTACTGTCCTTGTCATTCTCAGTTTTCTAGCAATATCGTGCCCTGAGCTCCAAGCCCTTCCTGCCGTAAAGTATGTCAGTTCCAAGCGCCTCCCTCCCCAGGGACTTTCAAAAGATCGATGAGTAAATTCTTGTCTAGATCCCCTTGGTCTCCACTTTCACACCATTTGCTTCGTCTAGGCACTCATACTTGTTCTCCTCCCTCCTTTTCTGAATTATTTAAACATCAAGAATTGGCTAAAATTTTCTTGCAGAATTTACTGGTAAGAGAAGAGGCGGCTTCCCCCCTCTCCTCTGTTTCCCCTCTGTCGTCTGTCATCTGGCCCAGGGGAAGTCTTGCTCTTCCTCCTCTCCCTCCTAGGTGAACCCACCCTCCTGCATCCCTGACTCTGGCTCCATCTATCCCCTCTCACACGCATCTTCGTCATCTCCTCTTCCATTAGCTAAAAACATGCCCACATACTTGCTGTTCTAAAAACCAAAAAACCTCCCATCCATCTTGTTTTTACTTCAACTTACTGTGACATCATCACACTAGGCTTCTTGGAAAAACACAGAACACACTCCCTGCTTCCCTCCTCTAACTCACTCCTCAGACTATGCCAGTCCTTTGGCTAAACCGGCGCCAGCAAGGGCCCCACAGTTGTCCCATCAGCAGTCCCATTGCCTCTCCTCTGTCACTGCTTTATTGCCCTCTCTGCAGCATCTGCCCCTGTGCCCGCCTCCTCTCCACAGCTCTGCATTCTCTCTGCACTCCTCTGACTTCTATCATTTCTCTTCTTTCTGAACATTGGCCTTCTCTAGGGTAAAATTTTGTCCCCTTTCTGTCTCTAAACCATTGTTTCCCAACTCAGAGATTTGCATGCCACCATCACAATTTTTGCCATAGCCACGTACCATCCACAAACTTTTAATTTAGCAGTTTTCTTTAAATCAATTCACTTTTCCTTAAATATGCTTTCAATGAAACTTTTACATTAGTATTGTAAGTGAAAAATTAGTATTACATGCTGTAAATACAAGACTGTAAAAATAAATACAATGAGAACAAAGCAATACTAATGAATTCTAGCTAGATACCATTGCCCACCAAGGGCTCCAAACCCAAGACCTGCTCTTTCCTTTTGTTAAAAGGGAAATTCCAAAGTATTAGAGATTAAAGACTAGCACCAGACTGAGCCTTTCTCTTTGATAGAATCAGAAGGCCTGAAAGAGGACTGAAAAGAAAGAACTTTTCACTACATGATTCAATGTTGTCTAAGGCCATATCTGTGTGCTGCCTAAAATGATCAACTACCAAGATAATTTTCCTAATAAATACTAGGATTAGTTCATATTCCCCCATGCTTCTTTTTAGGGAACAATTGTGACTTCTTTGATGGTTGCCCATATTTCTTAGCTCCATTCTACCTGTGCTTAGAAAATGAGATTATAGGGGGTCAGCCCAGTGCCACAAGTGGTTAAGCGCGCACGCTCCGCTGTGGCGGCCCGGGGTTCGCCGGTTCAGATCCCAGGCGCGCACTGACGCACGCTTGTCAAGCCATGCTATGGTGGCGTCTCATATAAAGCGGAGGAAGATGGGCATGGATGTTAGCCCAGGGCCAGTCTTCCTCAGCAAAAAGAGGAGGAGTGGCATTGCATGTTAGCCCAGGGCCAGTCTTCCTCAGCAAAAAGAGGAGGATTGGCAGATGTTAGCTCAGGGCCGATCTTCCTCACACACACACAAAAAAAAAAAAAAAAAAAAAAAAACAAGATTATAGACATAGAATTGAAAGAAGATAGAAAACAAACACCCAAAATATCAGAACTAATGCAGAACAGCAGCAATCCACCCAGGCTAGAGCCCAGATTCACCCTAGATGGGCCATCCATCAGGGCTAGAGCCTGGAATGTGTCCAGAGACTGCCCATGATCAATATCTAATCAATCAGTGATAACAATAATGATAGCCAACATCTGAAAGGTCTGCATGTCAAACGCTGCACCGTGCACCTCATATATATGCTCTCCAATCTTCACAATAACCTCATGAGGCTGGCGCCATTATTATTCCCAGTGTGAGGAAACCAGCGTCTAGAGGAGCTGAGGAACTGGCCCAGGATTTCCAGCAAGCGGCAGATCCAGGATTTGCACCAAGTCTGTCTGACTCCAGAGCCCATGTTCTTAACTCATCTGCTCCCCCGATGCTGAGACACAAAGCAATTTTAAACCTCACAAACCTCAAAATAATAGCCTGCTGCTCTTAAGCACAATTAAGACAATGGCTTGACACAACAGGAAAACCGTTCAATATGTAATTAAACATAATTACTGGTGTCCTCTAATTGTTTGGGAAAATAAGTTTCTCTCACTTGACAAGCTATAATTCTGGTGTGTGCTGAGAGAATGTTCAAGTCTTCACTTCAATCTGTTTATCTCCAGCACATGCACAGATCATTGGTCAGATTTCATGGTGAGTACTAGGGTGGCTCAAAGATCTCATCAATATGTAACTTGGAATCAAATAAGCTAGGCCTTGGAGGGATCTTAGCCATCCTGCCCAACCCTTCATTTTACACATGGGGAAATCAGGGCCCAGAGAAGTAACTTCCCAAGAACATGCAAGTCTCTGGCTCCTGCTCGAGTGCTCAGCACACCTCACTGATTAGATGGGTTAATGTCAGATGCCTAAAGCTGAAAACCTGGCTTCACCACTTAGCAGCTGTGTGACCTTGGGCAAGTTATTTAACCTCTCTGAGCTCCACTTGGGAAGATAATAATAGTAACTATTTCACAGGGTTTTGTGAGGATTAAATGAAACACTTGGAACACTACCTGGGCACATGACATCTGATCTACATATTTACTGCTTTAAACAGTAAGCTACACGTGGATGACGGACCTTGGAAATACTTCAAGGTTCTCATCAGGGCTGCTAAGCACAGTGATAAGGATGTGTTCTTATGCGCTGAGGAGCCGCTAGAGGAGATCTCCAACACCTACGGCACAGAGCTCAAACTATAAAGCAAAGGAGTTTAGCCAAGGTTCTTTTAAAGAGGGAGAAGGGCATGGGAATCAGACCTTAGAACCTTGTATTGTGCTAAACTCTGCAGGAATGAGCTTCAGCGTCAGTAGCCATGCTATTGTGGGTAGACTTGTTTATTCGGATAATCATGTTTCTGGAAGTGCAAACTCAAAAAAAAGCAACACGAGCAAATACTTATTGAGTATATACTTAGTAAAAAGCACTATGCATGAGATACAAAGCACTCTGTATGAGATAGAAAAAAATTTAGGGTATGGCTATCTAAGGCTAGCTTGGTAAACACCTAGAGCCAGGCCCCACTTCTTTCTTGTACCCCATGGCAGACATCACTAATCAATCACAGCACACTTGCCCACAGAGCCCAAGTACAGCCCAAGTACAGCCTTATAATTCTTCTCAACCCAGTGATCCAAGAAGCCACTGCCAGTCCATAAGCATTGAGTGTTAGAGGATGAAGGTATGTAGACAACCCAAGAATGAGGCATGGGACTAAAACTCAGTGGGGGCTAAGAATTATTTTTACTTAGATTCTTTTGATAAGACATTTGCATTTAAAACAGCTAAGAATATAACACAAAATACATCTTGTGTGTGTTGCAGGGAAAAGGTTCAAAGTATCCAAGTGATAATACACATAAGCAACGTGAGATGCTCTTTTTATAAGCTTCTTGGTTGGAATACTCAAGCACTCCAAAAACATTCTCATTCTCCCACAAGAAAAACTAGCAGCATCTTCATTTGAAAGGGAAGCAATGGGAAGGAAGAGAGACTGCAAGGTGCTTATTAAAGATGCTCTGGCAGTTCATGGCCATCTCAGCCTTGCCCCGTCTAGGACCAGTCAGAGGAGAAGCCAGGACTCAGAGAAATGAAACAAACCAGAGGAGGGGGAATCCAGGAATGTGAGTGGCACTTCTGAGGGCCTGCCAACCACAGAAGGTGTTGCCCATTTTCTGCATCTAGAGAGGAGACAGTGAAATGAGGAGAAAGAGGGCCAGGATTTCTGTTATGTCGGGGCCCAATCCGGACTGTCAGAAAGAGTTGGTGAGCTCAGTGAAGAGGGCCTCTCCATGCACAGCCCACTCATGGGAGAGGCAAGAAGGACATGACTATGTTTAATACAAGTCAAAAATCTTATTTAAAAAGTATACCTTGCTTACATTTGTTCCAAGTATCCTAGAGGATACCGACCCTTTAAAAAAAGGCTGTAACTGAGGCCACGTCTCACATAGGCCATTATCCAGATGGCAAATAATGTTTCCTCTAAAATGCCAAAGAGATTGTTGGGGAGAGGTTTCCAGGAGCGCGGAGTCAGGAAGGTCGGAAGGCAGGAGTGCTCTGCTGACAGGAGCCTGCGTGGCGTGCCCCCCCCACCGTGGGGGTGGCACATATGCGCCAGCTAGTTGTCAGAGCAGTGAAGGGAGGAAGTTGCCTAAAAACATTTAATTGGTAAATAATCTGCTATAAAGAATAATGAACGTTTCATATCTCTATTTAAAACCTTAGTTCTGTTTCAACGTGTTTTCTTTTTACTTAATTTTTTGAACAAGAAATATGTTTACATGTTTCAAATACCAAAAAGCATAAAAGGGTGTGCAGTGAGAAATCTCCCTCACCCCTGCACGCCATTCCCTCAGCTGCCAGCTGCTCCCCACCCCACCTCCTCCCAGGACAGTCACTGCTACTGGTTCCTCACCTATCCTCCCAGAGCTCTTCATACAGACAGAAGCAGACAAACGTAGATGCTTAGTTTTCTCCTTTACGCCATAAGGGTGGCATATGATATACACCTGTCTCCACCTTGCTCTTTTCACTTGATGTATCTTAAAGTCTTTCTATATATTAGCACATGGTGAGCTTTCTCACAATAAATTTTTTTGTGTGTGTGAGGAAGATCAGCCCTGAGCTAACATCTATTGCCAATCCTCCTCCTTTTTTTTTTTTCCCCAAAGCCCCAGTGGATAGTTGTATGTCATAGTCGCACATCCTTCTAGTTGCTGTATGTCGGACACGGCCTCAGCATGGCCAGAGAAGCGGTGCATCGGTGTGTGCCTGGGATCTGAACCCGGGCCGCCAGTAGTGAAGCGCGCACACCCAACCGCCAAGCCACGGGGCCGGCCCCAATAAATTTTATTTTTTTATTTTTTTAGTGAGAAAGATTCACCCTGAGCTAACATCCGTTGCCAATCTTCCTCCTTTTTTTTTTTGCTTGAGGAATATTAGCCCTGAGCTAACGTCAGTACCAATCTTCCTCTATTTTGTTTGTGGGATGCCTCTACAGCATGGCTGATGAGTGGAGTAGGTCCGCACCCGGGATTCAAACCTGTGAACCCGGGCTGCTGAAGCGGAGCGTGTGGAAGTTTAACCACTCAGCCACGGGGCCAGCCCCAATAAATTTTATTTTTGATTGACATATAATAAATGCATAGATCTGAAGTATTCTACTAGATGATTTTGACAATCATATACCCTCATGTAACCATCACCTAAGACAAGATAGAGAACATTTGCATTGTGTCCCCTTCCAGTCAACCCCACCTCATCGACCACCACTTTTGATTTCTATCACTACGACACAATGGCTTTTTATACATGCTACAACGATGATAAGACATCATGTTCCTGTTAGAGACCAGTAATGAATTTCAGGAGATATTTGACTCTCTGTGAAGCCTCCTCCAACACAGCACCCTGCCCTGCCCCCCTGCCCCATGCTAGACCACGTACCCTCCTTGAGGTCCCACACCTGTACTTGCCCTCCAACACTGCACCAGAATAGCCTCTGAAGTGACCTCTTTCTGGTCTGTAAGCCTGAGCTCCATTCTTGTCACCAATGCCTCTCTAGTATCTATTGAGAAAGTACCAACTAAATATTTATTAAGCCCTTTCCCAAAGGCAATTTGTAATTAGAAAGTAAAAATATCGATTTCCTGACCAATATTGCTATGGAAGTGACTAACTACAAACTTCATTTCACAATTAAAGTAACTGTCAGAAAGAAGCCAGGAAGCTTGTAAAGAAACAAAGGCGGATCAGCCTGTGATGGGGAACAGGCACTCACAGGATTCAGCTGGCAGACAGGGAGGGGCCTTTGTGTCACTTGCTTGCCTTTGCTAATGAAGGAAAGAATGACAGACATTTTAAGAGTTGATTTAGAAGGTTTTGAAAACAAATCAGAGGCCTTTCTTGGGATTAGCATGAAACATTCACAAATAAGGCCTTCCTTGCATCACCAGATCAGTGGACTGTAAGCTTTAAACAGAAAATGGTGAGGTGAGGTGGGTTATCAGACAAAGAGTGTCCACAGTGATGTGGGTTTAAGAATGAGAGGAGACACAATGCAGTCTACACAGAAGCTGAAATATCAGGATGTACACCTGAAATTTATATAATGTTATAAACCAATGTTACCTCAATTTAAAAAAGTGGAAAATAAAGGTACATCTGTGTTTTGAAAGGAAAATAAAAGATTTAAGGAATACATAGGCAC